CATACCAGTGTTACCAGCTTCGTGGTTCGGGTATGTCTTACTTCAGCGCGTTGCCTAGCAACAGTGATCCAGCATATTAACGGTTTACACCTGACAATCTCTGCACATTGCAAAGCCACAAATACCTGTTTTGTTACATTGCGACATGGATGAGATTCGTCAACAGCATATCCCTACTTTGGGCATATCCGAACGACTTTACACACTTCGCGGAGTCCTTCGTTACCTCTGCTGGATTTCTTTGTTCCCTTAACGATATAATTATCACGGATAAATGCACGTTATAAATCGAGTGACAAGTCTACAAACCCTCAATTGCCGCTGCATTTACAAATACCCTGCAGGCAATAGCATGCAAAATATGTTCGGTGCGTCTGGTAAAACGGTAACATTTGCATAAATTAAACAATACATTGTACAACATTACTTTGGTCGTACTTCTAAAGGCTAACAAAGCCCCGTCAAGAATAAACCATTCATTTTGTTTGTTTATTATTCAAACCAGTTGTTCTGTTGATATTTTACCTAAGGCTGACTTCCTGCGTTATTATAACGCGACCTAAGTATTGATCTCTTTATACCACGCAGGCTGGATATTTAATATCACAGAAAAAACCGGTATGACGCACAGTAACTGTAGTTGAAAATGACCTTCATAAGTCAGCTGGCCAGCCCGATGAACCCACATTGAGTTGTGTGAAGCGCCTCATTTGTTCTTAATGTTATAACTATAAAGAATAATCATTAGGGCGCACTGAAGTTTTTGCTTAGGGCCAAGAAGTTGTAATCAAGTTGATCAATTATTAAAATAAGTAATTCACCTGAAATTAGTTAACTGCTAACTGGCACAAAATTCTTTCGTTCAAATAGCATAACGGTATACTTAACATATAGTATTACATGTATTCAAAAATGCGAATAGTTTGTTATGACGTTCTGTCTTTTTAAATTAAGTGTTGCGTCATTTCGGTTATCGGAAAAGATAGATATTCCTAACTTAGCCTAGTATGGTAAAGCCATCAACCATATAACTTGTTGAGATACTTACCTGGGCACACAGGGTGGAGGAATATAGGCCGTATATAACAACCGCTGTTGAAATAGTTTAAAAGGTAGGTTGGCAGCAATTGTCACAAGAGCATATGGTTGAACACGCTAGCAATATAAAAGGAATCTGTTTCCTTGCTCTCAAGCTCTTAGCAGTTAGCGCGATGCATTGCAGTATGTAAAGCGCAGTTAACCAATAAATAGCAAGTTTTACTTAGTTTGCCAACTGACCCGACACTGCATACTAATTAACAATAAACCAAGTTGTGTGCCAGTAATAACTAAGTTTATAAACTGGTAATTCATTGTTTATTTTTCACCGCGTCAAACTTTGCACCTTTAGCGCCCAGTTTCATATGCAAAGACACTAAGTTTCATGTTTACATTTTTACATTTTTAAGCTTTAGAATATTAACTTACTTGATGTGCCTTTATGGTAAAACAGTAAATGAAGTGGCACTCTTAAAATGTAATCGGTATTTTTACAGCAACACGGTATATAAACCATGGGGACCAACCTTCACATGCAATAACTTGCGTTCTGTGCCGATAAACATTGGTACAAATTTATTGTGTAAAAGAACTATTTGTTTATATGTAGAAACCATCTATTGAGGAAACAATTGTGGCTTATGGTACAGGTGCCTTTTATGAATTCCATAATGATATATAATATTTTTTATATCCAGTTTCTACTGTTTTATGACAGTGCATGCCGTAATAAAATAGCGCTTGAAATAACTTTTACTAGCTCAAGTACGTGTGGATTTAAAGTAGTATTTGTGTCAGTTAAATTTACATTTTGTGGCAACTTGTACACCGCTTTATTGCTTTAAACATTGCGGCGAACGCACCTTAAAATTATCAAATTTTTAATTTTGTATTGGTTGTGTTAGCCATGCAAAATGAATTGATAAAGAAGAAGCGCTAAATTTACCTTTACACTTCTTTTGGTGCGGTAATGGAAGATAGGTTATGCAGTTCAGTAACTTTGCGTTAAAGCTTCCTTCAACTTGTACAGCAAACAAATCGGAATTCAAAGAAAGAATGTTGCACTTGGCTGCTACATTAAGCTTGAGTCTAATAACAACGCGGTGATGAATAAAATTTGTATCTCTTTTTGGAGCTTGAAGGCTTGCACATTCGTAATCAAATTGCAGTAAACAATGATGTTCCATACTTATTCGTAGCTAAAAATTAAATTATTGGAACTTTTGCATTTTGGTGTGTTATGAGAGCTACTTTGGTATATGGTTTTAATCCATGCAGCTTATGAACATTTAAGCGTGAGCATTTCTAGAACGCGCACAGCTTGTAACCATATCCATGGCTTATTTTGGATGTCAAAAGTACATTGAACATAAAAATCTTTCACTTAATAAGCATAATTTATTTTGTTAAATTTTGTGTAAAGTAAAATATCCGTAAATGCTTTGCTCATTTATTATGGATATCGTCTCCATATATTAATGAACTAGGTACAGAATAATAGGTAACCATATAGGGTGGCTAAGTATTCAGTTATCATAAAATTAAGCGTAAAAGAAAGAAAAATAAAAATCATTTCATGCTATTGCCACCTCGTCACTCAAAAGGGTTAACTAAACGTTTCTAATAAAACTAGTATGTTACACTAACTTAATAATGCAACTACAAATAACGGTTTTTACTAGTAATGTGGTTTTCCGCGTGAAGATACGAGTTGCGTTGGAAAGTTTAATGGCTATTCCCTTCATGTATACAACTGAGGCATATGTGGGGATATCGGATTCGCCAGATGGCAGTTGCGGTTTATCACTGTAACGTTAACCACCATAGCAATCATGAATGAATAGCATGTAAACAATCAGTATATTTTCTGAAGGACTAAATTACTACATACCTCATCGCATCCGCTCCTGCTCGCGCGAGGAATAGCTTTTGAGAAGCTTGCATGAATGTCTGCAAATTACGTCATAGGCCAAACTGCGATATTAAATTTCAAAAATCCAATGCAAAGTAAAAAGTTTATAAAGATTTCGTAGTTACTTTCTAAATCACTTAACAAATCTATAAAATTATGCTATAGAAAGTTTCCTTATTTCTCTGAGTTGATGCGTAAACTATTCGTGACATGCTGTCTCAATGTGTACCGCGATCCGCAATAAAACGCTTCTGGTTATTTTAGTTCTTCTGACTGACTAAACCAGCTACTAATCTTCTTATGTTACGGCATTTGAGACAAAATTTACCAAAGCCTTCAGTAAAGCAACACGCGGTGTAAATTAGATTTGCGCGTTGCACTTCCTTCCCTCAGCGTAGGAACATGGCTCTTCCCATAAGCCATGGATGCATAAGAAAATCCTTGCCTGCTGGGTCTCCGTGGACAGTAATATTTGTTTCCGCTGAGCTCCGAATGGTCACGGGGTGGCTTGCCTTAAGTTTAGTATACAGTTTGGGGTGAATCACAACGGTGGCTGCGCTTAAACCACAAGTAATTT